GAGTGATGCTGACAGGAGACTCTGGTCCTTTACAAGGCACAAATATTCCCCAAGCGCCTCACAACCTGAGTCCAGCCCTCCTCAGCTCTCCAGTGTGAAGTGAGCATCATTACCCTCATTGAACACATGGGGAAACTGAGGCCTGGAGAGATGACGTGGCTTCCCCAAGGTGACAGAGGGAGTATGTGGTAGATCTGAGAACCAAAGCCAGTTCCCTAAGGCCCTTCCTCTATTTGATGACAAGACCATTAGTTAAAGCTAGAGAAGAGCCCTCCATGAGTCATGGATGGATGAGACAACTCAACACGCACTTTCTCCTCCGGTCCCTGCCCTTCTGTGCACACAGATCTTTCAAACCATACTTGTGTGCAACTACGTACAGGACATCTATCTATCCCCATACACACCCACTATCCATCCTTGGTGGGTGGAAGTCAGGACTCCTGGGTTCTATCCCCAGTTCCGGGACAGCCATAATGTTTCTTTCTTCTCTCTCCCACATGGCAGGTTCTCAAAAAGACCCCCCAGGAGGCCTCAATCTTTTCTGAGCTCTCCGGCCTTCATGACCAATCTCTGGGGAAAACTGACCAACAAACAACACGGGCTGAAAAGGGGAAGTTTACGCAAGTGAAAGTCACACCAATGTTATTTTTTCACCCTGGTCTTAGCCCCCTATGCTCGCCCACCTGTCCAATTTTCACACCTTCTCACCAGCTGTAACAGTGAAAGCAATCCAGTGGGCGTCATCTCTTGTTCTCAATCTATAATTATCTTGACTTCCATCGGGGGGGAGGAGAGGGGATGTCTGATAGGCAAAGATACCTCAGAAGAGCTACGCGACAGACACAGAGCAGAGCTGGACTCCTGGACAGAACCCCCTGGTCTACAGTGCCGGGCCACGACCCAACATGGCTGGTGATTTGGTGAGTCTATCACAGGAAAGTGGCTGCTATTGGCTTGTCACATGAGTGCAGAGGGTGTTTTAACCCTATCAGAGATAAATGGTGTGGAGAATGTGCTAGAGAGGGGAGCAAGACGCCTGGATTCCCATCCCCAGCTCTGGGAGGGGAGTGGGGTCTAGTCGTTAGAGCGGGGAGTTGGGAGCCAGGACTCCTGGGTTCTTTCCCCATCTCTGGGAGGGGAGTGGGGGGCTAGGAGCCAGGACTCCTGGGTTCTTTCCCCAGCTCTGGGAGGGGAGTGGGGTCTAGTCATTAGAGCGGGGGGCTGGGAGCCAGGACTCCTGGGTTCTCTCCCAAGCTTTGGGAGGGGAGTAGGTTAGAGCAGGGGGTTGGGAGGCAGGACTCCTGGGTTCTCTCCCCAGCTCTGGGAGGGGAGTGGGGTCTAGTCGTTAGAGCGGGGGGCTGGGAGGCAGGACTCCTGGGTTCTCTCCCCAGCTCTGGGAGGGGAGTAGGTTAGAGCCGGGGGCTGGGAGCCAGGAGTGTTGTGCTCTGTTCTGACCTATGAAGGGCAGTGGGGTTCGTCCCCCTGTGTGGACCCGATACCAGGGCAGGGTGCAGCACATGGCTCCCCTGCACAGCCTGGATATTCTGCGGAGGCCAGGACGGGTAACACAGGCCAGGCTGTGCCCCCCAGTAGAGACGGGGGAACAGAGGTGCTTATCTCACACTCCACCTATCAGCTGGGATAACAGCTTTGAAAGAACTGTAGGGAGCGAGCCCAGGGTTGGGCTAGCAGGGGCTGCAGGTGGGGAGTGAGGATGATCAGATAGCAAGTGTGAAAAATTGAGACAGGGGATGGGGGGTAATAGGCACATATATAAGAAAAAGCCCCCAAAATCAGGACTGTCCCTATAAAATCGGGACATCTGGTCACCCTAGGCACCAGCAGAGCTGCGGGGAGCCCAGGGCTGGGCTAGCAGGGGCTGCGGGTCGGGAGTGAGGGGCACCGGCAGAGCTGGCGGGGAGCCCAGGGCTGGGCTAGCAGGGGCTGTGGGTCGGTAGTGAGGGGCACCGGCAGAGCTGGGGGGAGCCCAGGGCTGGGCTAGCAGGGGACTGTGGGTCAGGAGTGAGGAGCACCAGTGGTGTTTGGGGGAGCCCAGGGCTGGGCTGGCAGGGGCTGCAGGTGAGGATTGAGGGGCACCGGAAG